CACACACACACACACACACACACACACACACACACACACACACACACACACACACACACACACACACACACACATATAAACAGTCTAAGAGCAGCAAAATGAAACATTGAACATTGCAATATTGGATGGTTGTGAAATGTTGCTGAATCATTGTTGCAAAATTTCAACAATGTTAAGATGTCCGCTTTTTGTTATATTGCAACAAAACGTTCCAACAACATATTGCAATGTATTTGGATAAATTTTTTACGAAGATTCTAAAATGAAAACTATTTCTGTACATATATCTCATTGACTTTAATTTTTCTACAAATCGCATTGAGTGATATGTGCTTTTCAAAAGCACATGATAAAACTATATTTTTTATGATAAAACTATAAAATATTTCAATATAATAATATATAATAATATATTAGGTATACAACTTTGCTTCCGCCGTTTTTTTTCCGAAATTCAAGGCTTTATTGTAAAAAACTGGTTATACATTTATGATTCAAAGCATTGTTCATCGCTGGCCACTACTTTCTCCCATCTTTCGGGTAGCGTACGAATCCCGCGTCGAAAAAACTGGTCATCTTTTGAGGCTATCCACGAATCGATCCAATTTTTTACTTCTTCATAAGACCGGAAGTGCTGGTCAGCCAGGCCGTGTGCCATTGATCGAAACAAGTGATAGTCAGAGGGAGCAACGTCTGGAGAATACGGCGGGTGGAGTAGGACCCATTTCAACGTTTCCAAGTATGTCTTGACCACTTTCGCAACATGGGGTCGAGCATTGTTATGCTGCAAAATCACTTTATCGTGTCTCTCGTTGTATTGCGGCCGTGTTTGTCTTTCAATGCTCGGCTCAATTGCGTTCGATACCGATTGCCTGTGATTGTTTCAGTTGGTTTTAACAGTTCATAATACACCGAGCTGGTCCCACCAAATACAGAGCATGACCTTGGACGTCAAAATCACCGTTCTTGAAGCGTTGAAACCACTCACGATACGTTCTTTCACTAATAGCGGCCTCACCATAAGTATTTGAGAGCATTCGATAAGCCTCAGCCGCATATTTCTTCATATTGAGGCAAAGAATTAAAATCTCCTGCAAATGACGAGAATTTGGCTCGTAAACTGACATTTTCGAGAATAACTTTATGATGCAGACACAAATCGACTAATATTTCTATGGAGGTTATGTTGACAGATGCCCAAGTTTATTGTATGACGTTTATGATCTATTTATTTCGACCACCACTTATCGCTAAAGCCATCTATAGGAAAACGGCGGAAGCAAAGTTGTACACCTAATAATAATAATTAATTTTGAAGGATAAATTTATTCGTAGAATAAAGCATGTATGTGTGCCCCGAACAAACTACAAATATTATCCACATTAATAATATAATCACTTGGTAAATTAATCATGAATTAAATTAATCGCAGTGATTCTTTTTAATTCGAAACCACTTCGAGTCATCAATTAAAATTGATTAAAAAATGACAATATGAAATTTATCAATAAAGTAAATTAAGCGCTGTTTATTCTTGTTAATATCAAGCATAGATACATCATCGATCACATAATTAATATTTTGATAATCGTTTTCAGCAGCTATTTGCTTATCATTTTATCCAATAATGATCCAATATTGATTGTATCCTTGATATTATACAATCTTTTGATTTCATATTTAAAATAAATATAAAACTTAGCTAATGAAATGGTCATCAAATAATAGATCAATAAATTTTTATTTAAATATAAAATGAATATTAATTATCATAAAAAAAGCGACTGTTAAACTAAAAGACTGTACTAAATATTGTAAAAACTTATATTTTTATATTAGGTGTACAACTTTGCTTCCGCCGTTTTCCTATAGATGGCTTTAGCAGTAAGTGGTGGTCGAAATAAATAGATCATAGACGTCATACAATAAACTTGGGCATCTGTCAACATAATTCCATAGAAACATTAGTCGATTTGTGCATCATAAAGTTATTCTCGATTGAAAATGTCAGTTTACGAGCTAAATTCTCGTCATTTGCGGGAGGTTTTAATTTTTTGCTTCAATATGAAGAAATATGCGGCTGAGGCTCATCGAATGCTCTCAAATACTTATGGTGAGGCCGCTATTAGTGAAAGAACGTATCGTGAGTGGTTTCAACGCTTCAAGAACGGTGATTTTGACGTCGAAGACCGGCATAGTGGTGGAAGAGAGAAGGTTTTCGAAGATGCAGAATTGGAGGCATTACTTGAGCAAGACTCGTGTCAAAATCAAGAAGAATTGGCACGATCATTGGGAGTGACTCAACAAGCCATTTCAAAACGCCTCAAAGCCATGGGAATGATTCAGAAGCAAGGAAATTGGGTGCCGTACGAATTGAAGCCGAGAGATGTTGAACGGCGTTTGTTTGCTTGTGAACAGCTGCTTGAAAGGCAAAGACGGAAGGGATTTCTGCATCGCATTGTGACTGGGGACGAAAAATGGGTTCATTACGATAATCCCAAGCGCAGAAAATCATGGGGAGTTCCCGGCCATGCTTCCACGTCGACGGCCAAACCGAATATTCACGGCTCCAAGGTCATGCTCTGTATTTGGTGGGACCAGCTCGGCGTAGTGTATTATGAACTGTTAAAACCGACTGAAACAATCACAGGCAATCGATATCGAACGCAATTGATGCGTTTGAGCCGAGCATTGAAAGACAAACACGGCCGCAATACAACGAGAGACACGATAAAGTGATTTTGCAGCATGACAATGCTTGACCCCATGTTGCGAAAGTGGTCAAGACATACTTGGAAACGTTGAAATGGGTCCTACTCCACCCGCCGTATTCTCCAGACGTTGCTCCTTCTGATTATCACTTGTTTCGATCAATGGCACACGGCCTGGCTGACCAGCACTTCCGGACTTATGAAGAAGTAAAAAATTGGATCGATTCGTGGATAGCCTCAAAAAATGACCAGTTTTTTCGATGCGGGATTCGTACGCTACCCGAAAAATGGGAGAAAGTAGTGGCCAGCGATGGACAATACTTTGAATCATAAATGTATAAGTTTTTACAATAAAGCCTCGAATTTCGGAAAAAAAACGGAAACAAAGTTGTACACCTAATATTATTATTATTATTATTGTAACAATTAAGAATTACAATTTTGCAATGTTTGTGAAATATTACAAGCATATTACTGACATTTTGTAGGTATATTGTTAATTTACATTTCTGTAATATCTCTGCAATGTTATATTGCAACATTGCAGCAATATTGTTTCAATCTTCTTTGTTGTATGGGGATTAACTTCTTCAGAACCAACCTACATCAAATTTAAATACATTATCCGTTGAAATTAATTATACACTTAATTCTACATTTGAGATCTGATGTATATAATAAT